CAAGATTAGAGCAGCCATTCTCAGATCTCATCCAAGCCTCACTTAATCATTTGGACTTTAGAATAAAAACATGTATAAAACATAGCATTTCTTTAAAATTAATCAAAAAAGAAGATTTAGCTCCTCCTCTATGCAGAATGATAACGATCATCGAGCACTGCTATTTGTACTATATTTACTAGTTATGTTATTCATAATATCTTATATATTAGTTGGTTTGGTTGCTACGCTTAAGTTCCACCACTGTGAAAAACGTGACCAAAGCATTTGATCATCTTGTGAGGTTTATTTAGTAACTTTCTAGTTTGTAGGGTTTCAAATGACTTATTTTAACCATGCTTCAACTTTTTTAGACTAAAAATTGCCCAAAAAATAAACTAGTAATTTTTTTATGTTTCATCTGCAGTAATACACGGTAACTATTTTGGAGTACTAATAATATTTTCCGAGTCAAAAAGATTTTCAATAGGTCATTTAGTGAAAATATGTTCGTTATCGGTTTTACTAGTAGTTTGGTATAGCGATCTTCCTCCCACGCATACTACAAGAGTTCGGTTTTTCATTTGACCCTTGAACTTCCATTTTTAAACCAAGTATTATAATTTTTTTATTTTCTTTAGGCGTTCTTTCTAATTATCATTTTCCTATTGATTCCTTAAGAAGGTATAATCCAAAAATTTAAGTGAGTTTCCCATTCCAAATCTAATCACACTCACAATACTAAATTCCCTAAACACATACTTCAAAACTAATATTATTATGTTATTGTAAAACACACCCAATTATTAGCACAAAGATAGTGCAATTATCATATTAAGAGGACAGGTGTCGGACAATAAAGTTATGTTTAAGAACTCTATTCCAAGTGATGGGGCCTAATTATGCAAAGACGACATAGAATAGGTACAGCCAAACGCACACATAACCTAATTGTGATTGGCTTGTCCTTACTCTCGTCCACGTTCTCTAATCAAAAAAGGTTTAACAAAAGTAATTATAATTAAGACCCTAACCCAACCCAAACCCCCGCGCTTATCCGCACCACTAATTCTGTTCTTATTATAAACACCACATATTGCTCACCAGATTTCACATTGCTTTCATCAAAATGGCATCCCCCACCAACACAAATTTCTAATCCAAATTTCTTAATCTTAATTGTGATGATTAGTGTAAATATAACCCATGTTTATGTTTTTTTATTACTTTATAATGAAAGTAATTAATTTAATTAAACCAAAAGGTAAACAACTCTTGGGTTTGGGTTGCCCTTTGCAAAAAGTTAATCACTCTTTTTTTTTTCTTCATAATTTTATTTTAATATGTGCCCTTTGCAAAAAGTAAATCACTCTTAGCATCACCAAAGAGCCTAATTAATTATTTTTCTCCCACATTAGAAGCTCCATTATTTGTAGGGACCTCTTAATCACTCCACCTCTCCCACACACGCACACACACTTACCTACGCATCCCTCACTTTCATACTTGTGCATTTTACTTGTCCTCACCCACTCATTCATTATTATTTTTTTATAACTCTTTTCTTCATTTTTTGTGTTGACTAGATGACCATGATCGATTCAACAAAGTGATGTTTCCAATCATGCAGGCCAAGACATGGAACAACACCATGACCTTGTGATGCCACGGCCAAACAATGGGGAGGGGATGGGGGTGGCCGGCCGGCCGGCTGGCGGAGGAGTGGGAGGAAGAGGATGCAAAGTGATTGATATAGCGTAAATTAATGGATATTTTGCCATTACAATCAATCAAGTCAAGACTATAAGTACATTGGTTCTTAAAAAAGAAAAGAAAATATTTGTTTAAAAAAAGAAGAAGAAAGAAGCTTAATACATTCAAAAAGATGGGATTAAAATAAATTAATGAGTGAATATGAGAGAGCATATGAAAGTGGTGTGTGTGGAAGGCATCTTGGATTTGATAAATGATAGAAATATTCATAAATGATAGAAATATTCTTGTAGGGGGGACAGAGAGTTGCTTAAGTTGTTAAAGATGCAAAGTAGGGGGAGGAAGACTAAGATTAGATTAGTCATTTTTTTAAACCAAAGGTGGGTTTTAAACAAATCCTCACTTCCTTTTCATTGTTCTTCCTAGAGAGGGGAAAGGTAAAGCACCCTAATCTGACGTAACATGCATTATTTTTTTATTTTTTTTTACAATTTACTGTGATTGTCAAGCTTGTTGGTTGGTACTTTTTACATCATTTTTTCTTTAATATAAAGATTTCAATGTTCATAAAAGACTGTTACATTCTTTCCTTACTAAACAAATAGTAAATAAGCGAAAACTTATAATTTGAGTGATTAGAAGCGTTTATTCTCTTTTGCGAGAGTTTTATTTGTATTGTTATGACTTGTTTTTTTAAGCCTTATCTCTTTTTGATTATTATGAGTTTGCAATCTTAGTTGGGATGCCTATGTCATAGTTTCTTTGATTTTGCGTAATCGTTAATGAAGACGCACTAGATTGTATTAATTTTGATGTTAGACCGCTCCCTTATTGTAATAGCCCTTTGTGGCTAGTTTGTAATGACCTTTTATGGCTGAATTATGAATGCAATCCTAGAATTTATCAACCAAAAAAACAAAAAACAAAAAGCGTTCACTTTCCTCATCCTAAATCACAGTTAATTCGTACATTTCATTCTCCTTTTGGTATCTCTCATAAAAGTAAAATAAAAGTACTTATTCTCAAATCCACCGGAGCTCAATTCTCAACATCAATTTCCATTGAACCAAAGAATGAGAGCGAATAGACTTTATTCTAGATTATTGGTAAGTTACCTATAATTTGATGGGGATGCTTCACACATTAATCCATAGTGGTTAGTTAAAAGATAGCTAATTGTGGGAGTTTATAGCATCAATGGTTGTGATTTACATACCTCTCAAGGCCAAAGTTTGTAATCCGACGGCCTCTGGTGGTTTGGCCTCATTTGTAGGAAAAAAGAAAACTGATTGCTTAGTAATTTTGAATAACTGATTGTAAGTCTTTATGTGGATTGGGGGCACTCTAATTTTCTAAGTTTATTTGTGATCAAACTTATATTGTTTTAGTAACATATATCGTCTAGTTAAAATATGTCATGTACGAACAAATTTGTATTGATAATTCAAATATGTAAAATGTGTCACATTTTAAGTGAAACGACATGATGTTAAGTTCACCAAAAACAACACTATGTTAGGTGTAGATGTGGTTTGAATGTTCTCGTCATAATTAGACATAAGAAAAATATTGTGTGGAAACTAGAGAGAGGAAATGTAATTACACTTGGCCATGAAACATAGAGGTTTATCCAATTGCACGCATTAAGTGATACGCATCGTCCAATTAAAATATACCATATGCTTATTTAAAAAAATCATGTAATTATAATTTATTTTATATCTATAAGACTCTATATATATTTTTGGAATACGTGTCATTCAACCTATTACATAACGGAGACATCTCCATTTAGTTTTTCTTATGTAAAAACGACATCAAGCTAGGTGTAGTCTTGCTTTGAGATTTAGAAACAAAAACATTCTCTTATCATACTTAAGTAGAAAGGTACATGGAAGCAAAAAGGAGAAACATGTAATCATGTGATCCGTAAGTTTACCACATCCCGCAAATTCAGAGAAATTTTATGTTTGCCTGAAATATGTAACATGTTGTCTTTCAACTCGATGATACATGTCACTTAGCATGTCACGTGATAAGTAGCTCATCATCCAAGTCATTTACAAAATGAATGAAAATGTTGCCTTAAGGAGAAAAAAAAAAATTACATGGAAGTTAAAGAGAGGAAATGTAATTACACGTGGCAGTGGGATCCCACAGGTTTACCCACTCACGTGGAGCCGCAAATGGGACTCTGCTGACGTGCATGAACAAGGACCACCGAACCGCTCGCAGATTGTCTGGGAAAGAAAGAAAAGGTGAAAAAAACCGATCAAGATCTAAACGCTTACCACGTGTTCAAGCGGGCCCCACTCCCATCACCAAATGGCATGTAACGTAATTATCAACCCAAAAGATCCAAAAAAGCAATTAATTCTAACCTCCACGAAAACCCAAAAATTAACAAATACAAAAAAAAATTTAAAATTTAAAATCCCACCCCAAAAATTCTGCCGGGTTAACTCGAGCCAACCCTGTTGCCTGCTTCGAAGCAGACAACGAAAGGGACGGCGACAAACGGAACGGCACTCAACTTAACGGACCTCCGTTACCTCAAACCGCACGCATTCCGAAGCGCCCCGTTCACATCACAAATCATTGATAATTGAATTATAACATCCGTTACGAAACGCCGTCGTGTCCCTGCTCCTTTACACCACCCCAGGGGCCCCATCTCTCCGTTAGGCGTTCCGTCCAGTTAACCCCCCCCCTCCGGTTAGCCATTGACTACGGTTAGTTCGGTTCCAACTGTTACACAGAAAGGGGGAGAGAGAGAGGGGGTCAGAGTTAAAGCAAACAAAGTCTCGCGTATAATAAGACGCGCGCAAAGCGGCTTGGGGATTCTCTGTAACGGCGTTTTCTTCACATCTGGATTCCCTAGAGAGAGAGAGAGAGAGAGAGAGAGTGCGTGAAGAGTGTGAGGGTTTTTTAGAGAGAGAAGTGAGAGAGGCAGAAGCGGTTTTGCGAGCACAGATGGTGGTATTGTAACGGTTGCAGAGAGAGGGGATTGGTGGTTTTGCGTAACGGTTTTTCGATCAGCGAGAAAAAGCGGTTGTGCTTGTGGTGGTGGGAGCTCTGTGATTAAAATCGTATTAACGGCTGATTAAGAGTCATTATTGGTCGTTTTATTATGCTTAATTATAAGTATACATTCAGCTCAACTTTGTCTGCTTAGACTCAGAGAGAGACAGATAGAGAGATAGAGAGAGAAAGAGAGAGAAGGAGAAGGAGAGAGAACCGAGAGATTATCTGAGCTTTGTTGGGGCATTTTTGGAATTTGTTGACTCAGGAGAGTTCGAGTTTCAGCGATGGCGAATCGAGAAGGTGAAATGGCCGTTGATTTTCTCAGACTTTCTTTCATTTTCTTGGAAAATAAATATAATTTCTGCTCTTTTTTTGGGGGGCGTTTGTTTTGCAGGTGGTGATCTGTATCCGGAGCTATGGAAGGCCTGTGCGGGCCCACTCGTTGAAGTCCCTCGCAGCAACGAGAGAGTCTTCTACTTTCCACAGGGGCACATGGAACAGGTAAATTTTACTTCTTGCTCTTTCGTTTTTCGTTTTTTTTATTTTTAACTTCGTTTTTCTGTTTATGGGGTGTTTTCTTTTCGTTGAAATTGAAGAACTTTTTGCCATTTTGGGGTTTTCTTTTGATGTGTATATAGTTGGAGGCATCATCACCAACAAATAAGGAACTGAATCAGGAGATTCCGCAGTTTAATCTTCCCTCAAAGATTCTCTGTCGCGTCCTTAACATTAACCTCATGGTATTCCTTCTTTCTCATCTTATTACTTGTTAATCCTCTTATTTCCCTGTTTTTTTTCCTTCTAAATTCTGTTTGGTTACTGAGAAAATGAAGGATGGGAAGTAGTAAGCCTCTGTTTCTGATTGCGGAAAAATGATAAGTTAGATCAGCTGGATCCGTTAGTTGATTTTAGCTCCAGCTGATCAGGAGTCCTAATAATTGGAAAGTTTCCAACTTTATAACTAGTTGAAATATGTTTTTCATTTCCTGTGTTTTCTCAGAAACCAAAAAAGTCTGGAATATTTTGTGAAAGTTGTTTATTTGGCAAGAATTTACATTGAGTTTTCTGCAATTTTAGGCTGAACAAGAAACAGACGAGGTTTACGCACAGATTACTTTACTACCCGACACAAATGTAAGAACCAATTGAGCTGCTTTCATATTTAACAGCTTTCAATATTTGGGCAGCACTTTCTTTGTCACTACTGTTTTTTAATAGTGTTAGTAATTATATGTTTAGCAAGACGAGCCTACTAGTCCTGATCCGAGTCTTCCTGAACCTCAAAGATCTACAGTTCACTCATTCTGCAAGATCTTAACTGCTTCAGATACAAGTACCCATGGTGGCTTTTCTGTTCTACGGAAACATGCCACTGAATGTCTTCCTCCACTGGTATTTATTTTCCCTGTTGTACCTTTTTGTTGGCTTTTCTTTCTATATTTTCGTTGATGTTGATTTCCATGCCTGTGTCTCCTCTTCCAGGACATGACCCAGGCAACCCCAACTCAGGAATTGGTTGCCAGGGATCTTCATGGTTATGAATGGCGGTTTAAGCATATTTTCAGAGGTGAGTACCTCATCTGCTTTGCACTCTTGCAGTTGTCCCAAATGTTTACGAAGAGATGTAATTTTTTCATTTCTCATGAGTTGGACAGTCAGTCTTGTATGTAAAAATTCAGACACGCTGAGTGATAGAATATTATAACCATATCAATCAATCCTCACTCATGGTTCCTCATTCTGTGATTAACTGAGCAGGTCAGCCGCGTAGGCACTTGCTTACGACAGGATGGAGCACTTTTGTTACTTCTAAGAGGTTAAGTGCCGGGGATTCCTTTGTTTTTCTCAGGTATATATTTTCTTGCTTTCTTTTTATCAGTCGTCATCCAAGTCTACCACTGTGTAGCCTGGAAAAAAGAATTTTCTAGTAGGAGGGTACATGGGGCATATATAATTTTATCTAATACATATAAAATTGGTGGCTCAGAGGGGGCAATGGGGAGTTGCGTGTTGGAGTTCGGCGTCTTGCTCGTCAGCAGAGCAGCATGCCGTCATCTGTGATCTCAAGTCAAAGCATGCATGTAGGGGTGCTTGCAACTGCAACCCATGCTGTTGCAACCCAAACTCTCTTTGTAGTCTATTATAAGCCAAGGTTTGTGTTATTTTATTAGACCTGATGAACTTAAAATGATTTTTTTTTTTGGTATTGAATTATTTGCACCGGATTTCTTATATTCTTTCATGATTTCCTTTAAAATGTCCAGGACGAGCCAGTTCATTATCGGCTTAAATAAGTATCTGGAGGCCGTCAACAACAAATTTTCCGTTGGCATGAGATTCAAGATGAGGTTTGAGGGGGAGGATGCTCCTGAGAGAAGGTAGAAGTCTAATACAGGATTTCTGTAGTATTTTTTCCCCTCAAATTTGTTTATGAGTTTTCTGATGCATTCATGTTCGATGTTCTTTGATTTTTCAGGTTTTCGGGCACAATAATTGGTCTGGAAGATATATCTTCTCATTGGTCACATTCAAAATGGCGGTCGCTTAAAGTAAACTTTTCTTACCATTTCCCTTTTCTTTTTTCTTGTTATCTTGTCCCTCTCTCCCTTCTTGCTCCTTCCCCCATCTCAAATGAAAATCAGGCATCAATTTGCTCTTCTGAAATATCTTCCAGGTTCATTGGGATGAGTCTGCATCAGTTCCAAGGCCTGATAGGGTATCTCCTTGGGAGATAGAACCTGTTGTGGCTTCTATACCTGCAAGTGTTCCTCAACCATCTGCAGTGAAGAACAAAAGGCCTCGACCAGCTGCTGAAATTCCAGCCATCGGTAGGAACCTTTTACTTTCTGTTTCCTCCCCCTTCCTCTTTTTTATTTGTTCTGAACTAGATGAGTTTTTTTTTTGAATAGAAACATTTTTATTCAAATTGATGAGTTTTATTTTTATTTTTAATATTTTGTAATTAGTTTATTTTATTTTTATAATTCTGACCTTTTCTTTTATTTGGATAATAGATGCTACAAGTTCAACTGCACCAGCTCTCTGGAATTCTGGGTTGACGCAGTCTCATGACATGTCACCACCGAGTGTTGCTACTGAAGGCAAAAGAAGTGAAAACCATGCTCTATGGCATCATCAACAGGCAGACGTGATCAGCAATAACAACTCTATCTCAAGGACTCAGACTGATGGGGGATGGCTATCTCAGACAGGTGGTTCTAAGCTTATGTTTCAGGATGCAATGGACGATACTAAAATTTTTTCTGCTTGCCCTGTTTTCTCTGGATATTCAACTCCAAACTCATCAAAGCTGAAAAATGACTCAATGTGTGACCATGTTGAAAATGGGAAGAAAACTGAGACAGCCACTAGTTGCCGAATTTTTGGTATAGAGTTTATTAATCATTCTGCAAGGTCCCCATCTATGGAGAAGACACCTCTACAACCAATCAATGCATCTACTGGAACCACTGAAGGACGTGTTAGTAACTCGTTGGCAGCTGAGTCAGACCAGAAATCTGACGTTTCAAAGGCTTCTAAAGAAAGCAAACCTGGACAGTTGCAAGTATCCTCGAAAGAGACACAGACCAAGCAGAGTTCCTCCACATCCACCAGAAGTCGCACCAAGGTGCTTAAAGTAGATTTTGTTTATGTTTTTTGAATTATGTATATTCAATATTTGGTAGACGATTTAGCCAAGTACTGATTTATGGTGTTTGTATATCCCAAAAGGTTCAAATGCAGGGGATGGCTGTTGGCCGAGCAGTGGACTTGACAATATTGGAAGGATATGACCAGCTTATAGATGAACTGGAGGAGATGTTTGATATCAAGGGACAGATTCACCCCGGTAACATGTGGCAGATTGTCTTTACTGATAATGAAGGAGACATGATGCTTATGGGTGACGACCCGTGGGCGTAAGTATTCTTTATTACAACAAAGCGTTTGTGTTTGTAATTTTTTCACATGTACCTTTGGTTATATTTAAATCCTCCGTTTTCTTTGCAGGGAATTCTGTGACATGGTGAAGAGAATCTTCATATGTTCAAGTCAGGACGTGAAGAAAATTAGTGCAGGGTGCAAACTTCCATCGTCTTCACTAGAAGTTGAAGGAACCGTAACAAGCTCGGACTAACATCTCAATGGCGGTTCATTCCTTTTTCGTTGTCTCTTTTGTTTCGTTCGATTTTTGGGGCATGTCTTTTGGTGGTTTGTTTGTGGAGGAGAGACTCTTTATTTTGGGCAAAGGGAAGAAGAAGTTGGGAAGTTGGAAGAAGGAAAGAGGACATCGGCTAATTGATAGCTCGTTTTTTAGAGCTAACTCAAGACATTTGACTGGAAACTACAAGAGGCCTAATGCAGCAGCAGCATCTGTTTGGTAGTGGGTAGGATTAGAATCTGTGAATATTTAAAAGCTATTTGTGGTGCAGTTGGGTTTGGGGTTTTCGGATGGGGAGTCTTTGTCCCATGTTGTTGTTGTTGTAAATATTTATGTACTTGTTTACTTTGGCAGTGTACTCTTTTGGTCGTTAGTGAATGACAATATGCAGTATGCAATCTTCTGTTGCTATGTTTAGATTTGAATGATTTATAATAATCTGTACCATTTGTTTTCTTCCCATCAAAATTTGTTCATGAGTCCACGCAACCTTCAAATTAAAAAGGGAAAACGAAGCTTCATCTACAATAAAACAAATTGAGGCCCTATAACTTTAGGCTGGGTCGAAGGGCTTCTTAAAGCTTGATTTGGACCAAAAATTTGGATGAAAAGTTCAATTTGGACCGAGATTTGGATTTGGATTGAAATTAATGACGGGATTAAGCACAATTAAATTATTAAACGTTTTTTTCACTACCTAAGTAACATTAACAAATGATACACCACTAAGGCCAAGCTGATAAATCACATTGCCTTAGTGTTTTTTTTTAATACAAGCGTTGGTCTAAACTACAAGATGAAGGGAGTTTTTCACACACACACACACACACACTACCAAAGTATCATAAGTGTTCAAGCCTAAAAAGCCTAAGATCACTAGTCTGCAAATCAATGCCATTTTTCACTAGGCTTTTTATCTCAAATTTGCCAGGCCTACACATAAAGGATGTGATAATTTCTATTTGTTCAATTGAGGTTCCCACAAGATCATTATAGCTCATTGCAAGTGAATCTGGAAAATTAGAGAAGCAAAAGAACTCAAGTTTTTTGGTGATGTCAAACAACGAGCAAGAGTTTGAGGAATATATTAAAGAAGCTGATGCCGTGTACCCTGTGTATGTGAATGGGTTATTGGCTGTCTAGCCAGAGGGTGTGTCTTGCTTCAGAGAGGTAAATAAAATTTTAATTGATTTTTAGGAGTTGATTTCAAATGATTTACCAAATGAACTATCACCTATGAGAGACATACAACATCAAATTGATTTGGCGCCAGGAGTTAGTCTTTCCAATCTCCCCCACTATTGTATGAGCCTTAAGGAGAATGAGATTCTCAAAGAAAAGATAGAAGATTTATTGCAGAAATCCTTCACATGGCGCATATGTGTGGATTAGTGAAGAAGAACTGTATAGGAACCTCAGAATAGTAGTTGCACCGCTCATCTACAGACAGATGGTCAAACGAAGGTTACCAACAGAACCTCAGAAACATAGTTACGAGCATTTGAGGAGACATGCTAAAGCAATGGGACATTGCATTGCCACATGTGGAGTTTGCTTACAACAGTGCTGTTCATTTTTCCACAGGAAAATCACCATTTGCTATTGTTTACACTTTGGTGCCTAGGCATGTGGTTGACCTGGTCAGGCTTCCAATGGCCCAGAAGACTAGTGTAGCTACTGAAAATATGGTTGAACAGGTTCAGACTGTGAGGGAAGAAGTGAAGGAAAAGCTAGAAAGGATCAAAGCCAAATTTAAAGTCACCACTGACAAGCGCCGCCGTGTGAAGTTGTTCCACGAAGGAGACTCCTTAATGGTTTACTTAAGGAGAGAACGTTTCCCAGTTGGTACCTACAACAAACTGAAATCTCGGAAGTATGGCCCCTACATAGTTTTGAAGAAGATAAATGACAATGTCTATGTCGTGGATCTTCGTTATTCAATGAGCATATCGAGCACTTTCAATGTTGCGGATTTACATGAGTTCCATGATGATGAGTCAATTTATTATGATGATAACTCGGGGTCGAGTTCTTCGGAAGTGGAAGGACTGATGTAGAACAGATTACGGAAGCAATTGAAGAAGAGTTAGAGCGACACGCGTGAAAGGGCAAATTGCAAATTTGGGCCCTGAGCTCAAAATCTGGCCCATGACCCGTCAATTTTAAGAGAATGGCGTCACGAGTAAAACTCATCGCATTGCCATGATGTATGGACTTTTTTGGCTATCCGAGATCGTTTAGTAGCTCAAAATCCAATTTTAAAGTTTTTACAGTTTTTTGGAAACTTTGTTATTTTTCTATTTTAATTCCTTTGTTTATTCCTATGGTTTCTAGGAGTATTAAACATATTTTACCCGTGGCTAGGATTATATTTTTTTATTCCAGTTTATCAAATAAACTTTGAGGTTTCCTCATATCTTCTTGGTGGATTCTAGAGTTTCACATTCTAAACTAAGATTTTAGCCACTTATTTGTCATGCTGCGTCACTCTCTCTCTTTTTTATATATATATTTTCAGTTAGCAGCATCAATTACTTTCAAATTTTCAATGGTAGTGTCAGTAGTAGTCATTAGGAACCAGTGGACCACCGTTTTGTTTTACTAATTTGGAAGAAAGCCTGTCTTTCATCCATATAAGGTCAGCATCGTAAAAGAGACCTTGCATTCATTGGTTCTCGTCGGCTGGCCTTGCCGTTTGGTTTAGAGAGCTGCATGCGCTCTAGTCTGGTCCACTGCTAAGTTTTCTATCATCTCCTCCACCCAATTACACAATTTGCTGGTCATTGCGTCCATTTTTGTTGTCGTTATCGAGTTCATTAAATAGAAGACAGAAGCTAATTACATCAAAGTGAAACCGAAAAAATTAATTCAACTAATGAGAAACCTCTACATTAAAAACAACGATAAAATTATTGGGTACCCGTTATATTTTTTGCATTTGCTAATCATAAAGTCGAGAGTACTCATTGAACAGAGAGAGAGAGAACGTAACGTAAATAAATTCTCAGATGTTTGAGAAAGACATATCCTCTTGCTATACTGGCCCATGAAAACAAGGACATCCTCACCATGACCCTTGTCAAAATAATTGAGTCAGGCCCAGAGCCAAGTGGGAATGTGACTGTGACCACAACTAGCCCTAGACATATTGACTACTCTCTTAAACACAGGACCTCAGGTGGTAGAGGCCGATCCTCCTAATCACTTGATCTATAAGCCGTTTGCAACATACATGCATCTTTCTATAATGAAAATTGAACTTCAGAAAATCTGTAAGCCGTTTACATCCATCTCATTCTTATGAAAATTCCATACCAAGAAGATATAAACACTCAATAACCACACGACCTCAACAAAATCAGTTTTTTTTTCCTTCACAAAATTGAATTAAAAGAAAGATTTTAACTTTTACTGATAAGATTTTTCTTATTTGTCTGATTGCTGATCAGAAAGTCAGCCATGTGTACTTGACTAGTGTAATACCACCACGCCACCATCCAGTATTATTAATATAAACTCGTCCATTTCTGAGAAGGATCCAGAAATTATGGAATTTGCGAGGTCGCTACTTTCCATTCTCAAACGCACATTATTTTTCAATTCTTGGACTCATCTCCATTTGATAATGTTATCTTCAACTGACTGGATTCTGTGCTCAAATTCTAACAGTCAACCAGATCACTCATACTAAAATACAGCCACACTGTCAATTGACTGGTAGAACATGATTTATTTCATTCATGGCCTGATTTTTATTAAAATAATAATCAAAATTCACTACTAAAATAAATATTCAATGAGCAATTTCGGTGCCTAATAATTAAAAGACTGTCATTTAGTATGTTGGAAACGAAAAGTGCAAATACAAATTATATTTATGTTTACTGAATTTTTTTTCTAGTCGCAATTTCACAAATTAAGAATAAAACATTATCTGACTTGTTAATTACATCCATCTAATACATTATTTTAAGCTGGTTTGTTTACAAATAATGTGCATGATTGTGTATATTATTCTTGGTCTCCAAAGTCTTTGGTTTTAAAATGGTTGATGGTTCATATAGATGCATCACAACGTACGAAAAGTGTTGGGGCCTATGGCATGATAAACACTTACATGAAACAGGGATAATATTATTTTGCTATTCTTGCCAATTATAGTATGCCACAAGTGATAACTTTTCCACATAGCAGACTATGATTGGCGGGGGATAGTAAAACTGTACTATTCCCGTTTCATACTAGTTTTTTCTTGTGTGGCACATACTAAAGAGAAAAGCTAAGGACCTTTACACATTTATATAAGAACCTCTAAACCTCATGCCCTGCCTATGAAATAGCAGAAGTACAAGAAGGGAGACTCAAACTCAAAGAGTTTCCACTCTTGCACCATCATGTCCACCACCACCGCCCATAATGACCTCCCACTACACACCCACAAGCGCTCCCGTCGAACGACCGCGAACCGCGTGTTTGCGGTGGTTCACTCGTGTGCCATCCTAGCCCTTCTCTACCGCCATGCACTCTCTCTCCTCCACTCCACATCCCTCACCTCTTTCCTTATCACCCTCACCTTCCTCATCTCTGACTCTATTCTGGCTTTCATGTACAGCACCGCACAATCTCCTCGTATGACACCGATTTACCGTAAAGAATTCCCTGAAAACTTGAAAAGGGTTGTCAAAGAATCGGATTTCCCAGCGTTAGACTTGTTCATTTGCACTGCTGATCCTTTCAAAGAGCCACCAATGAACGTGGTAAACACCGCCTTATCGGTCATGGCTTATGATTATCCGACCGATAAGGTTTCAGTGTATGTTTCAGATGATGGGGGCTCGGCTCTCACTCTCTTTGCTTTCATGGAGGCCGCCAAGTTTGCAAGTCATTGGCTACCTTTCTGCAGAGAGAACAACATAGTGGAACGCTGCCCTGAAGCTTACTTTGAAACTGATCATTCTCGGTTACCTGAAGCTGACAAGATCAAGGTAATACTATCATATTTCAATTTTGCTTAATTATTAACTATAAATATGTTTATCTAAATTAATATGTATGGTAGTAATATCCTCTTATCAAGTTTATATTGTCACATAAATTAGTTTAGTGCCGGATTATATCATGTGATGAGAGAAGATCATATCATACTTATGTTACTAGACTATGAATATTGATTGTTATGACTTTTCTTGGTTATATCGTAATTAGGGTATTACATAAAAAGGAGTTTATATTTTTGTTCAGATTGAAAAGGGGACCTTCTTAATCTTTAGAAACGCCCCTACCAAAATTGCTCATGTATTCAGTAACACAAAAGGTTGTATTAAGCAAGAAACAAATAAACATGGGATCTTGCTACAAAGAAACGAAAACACACACAGCCAATGACGTCGGCTGCAATACTTATTTGTCACCTTGTTTGGGTTCCTATCCTCTTCACAATGCATGAGCCAATGACGGCACAAACAGCCAAGACCAAGTTGTATGGGCATCGCATCACATTCAGGACTGGCCTAATTAACCCAGATTAAGCTTTATTAATTATGTTTTGTTCTGAATCATGGCACAGATTATGTACCAAGGCATGAAAGTGATGGTAAACAATGTAATTGAAAGAGGCAAAGTTGGCGACGAATATATAACTGGAGAACGGGAAAGGATAGCTTTTAGGAAATGGACGGATGGATTTACCCGACAAGATCATCCCACTATTATTCAGGTATATTTTTCTGTCCCAACTGGTGGACCACTTTCTCCCACTATTAAAATCGACATGATAAGAGTTTCATTCTTTCTTCCTTTCCTTTGAATTTTAAACCAAAAAAAAATTCTCTCAATTTTTACTTGGGACAATAATAATCATTCTTGTGAGGAACTAATCACTAACAATCTTGTAAAAGAAAAAAAAAGGAACTAGTTTAATATGCTATAGATGTTGTGATATATATAAATATATATATATATATATGTATATGTATGTACTTAAAAGCATATATGTTCGTGGACAGGTTCTTTTGGACAATAGCAAAGACAGAGACATTGCAGACAATTCATTGCCAAACCTAATATACGTCTCTAGAGAGAAAAGCAGGACATCACACCACAATTTTAAAGCTGGTGCCCTCAATGCTCTTGTAAGCTTCCATACCTTTTCTTTTGGGCTCACATAACCATCTCATTCTCAAATAATTAATTAATCATCTTCATTTCTTCACCAACTAATTTATATTTATCTGATGGTGTGTTGTAACAAAAGCTTCGAGTGTCGGCCGCCATGACCAATGCTCCAATAGTCTTAACCCTAGACTGTGACATGTTCTCCAATGATCCCCAAACACCTCATCGTGCCCTCTGTTACTTCTTAGACCCCAAAATTCAATCTGACCTAGGGTACGTGCAGTTTCCTCAACGCTTTCGTGGGATCGACAAGAGCGACATGTATGCATCTGAAAACAGGCATTTGTTTGAAATTAATCCACGGGGAATGGATGGGGTTTTAGGGCCAAATTATGTAGGAACTGGTTGTTTTTTCTCAAGAAGAGTTTTCTTTGGCGACCCATCGAAGTTTTTACCACCCGAAAACCCCCAACTTGGCCCAAACAATTTGGTGGACAAGCCCATTCAGAGTCCAGATGTTCTAGAATTGGCACACCATGTTGCAGCTTGCAACTATGAGAAAAACTCCAATTGGGGATCAAAGGTACTCTTTCTTTTAGAACGAGTTGTTATTTTTGCTTCAAAAAAGTCATCGTGCACTTATATTCGAAAACTGATGAATTAAGTTATTAAATTGTGTAGATTGGCGTGAGATATGGTTCGCTGGTGGAGGACTACTTTACTGGTTATCGTTTGCAGTGTGAGGGGTGGAAGTCCATATTTTGCAATCCAGATAAGCCAGCATTTTTGGGGGATTCCCCAATCAGCCTTATTGATGTTTTAAATCAAACCAAGCGATGGGCCATAGGCCTCCTTGAGGTGTGTTTCTCTAGGTATAGCACAATTACATTTGGCATAAAATCCATGGGCCCGCTCATGGGCCTTGCTTATTGTTATGCATTTTGGGCAATTTGGTCAATTCCAATCACTACATATGCCTTCCTACCCCAACTAGCTCTTCTCAATGGACTCACTATATTTCCAAAGGTAACCCTTTTCACAATTTCACTTTCTAAATAATTGGTAATTTAATTTCCATAATCAAACAGTTGATATATCATGTCGCAATGTTAGAATGTTAATTTGACCTAATTAAGATTCATATTAACATTTTGACAACATCTCATAAGTGTCTAATGTAGTAATCTAAATGTCGGACAAGATGTGCACTAAGATTGAAGTACTTATCGCAGGTTTCAGAGCTATGGTTTCTCTTATATGTCTTTGTTTTCATCGGAGCCTACGGTGAAGATCTTCTAGATTTTTACTCAACTGGAGTAACATTCCAAAAGTGGTGGAGTGACCAAAGGATGTGGCTGATTAAGGGACTCTCAAGCTTCTTGTTTGGATCCATTGAGTTCTTCTTCAAGTCCTTTGGCATTGCCACACTTGGGTTCAATGTGACAAGCAAAGTCCTTGACGAGGACCAAAGCAAAAGGTACGAACAAGGAAGTATGGAGTTTGGAGTCCCCATCACCTTTGTTTGTGCCCCTAACAACGGCTGCCATTGTCAATTTGGCTGCCTTTGCTTGGGGGCATGTAGAGGTTTTCAGAGGCAGCAATGGCCTGGAGGGACTGTTGATGCAGATGTTCATAGCTGGGTTTGGGATAGCAAATTGCATACCAATTTATGAAGGCATAATTAGGAGTGATAAAGGAAAAATTCCTACAAAAATTACTTTAGTTTCAACATTTATAGCGTTTGCTCTTTATGCAGCAGCTTGTGTTACTCTTAGGAACTGAACCCCAAAAACTGTGTTAAGAGAGAGCCCTACAGTTTTATAATGAATTTGGAGTCCCTATGAGAGATCCCAAAAGCTTGACGACAAAGCTGTGGACCATTGTTTTGTTTAATCATTGGCCTCAATGCTAGGTTTTCTAAGCTCCACTCAGTCTTCTTTGCAAAAGAAAGTTTAGTTAATCGGACCACTTGGTCACCGCCATTGTGTTAGGTTTCCTTTTAGGTCTTTTGTGAAACTTCTTTGTACATTAATATAAAAAATGAAAAACTTAATGGGTTGTCATTTTAAATTTAAGGGGGGATGTATATGGACCTACATATATTGAATTGAAGGTACTATACTAGATCATGAGGCTAACGATCTTTTGCCATATTTATGTTGCAAGGCAAATAATACTTATATTGACTGAACGAGTCTGAAATAACCAATGACGTAACATTGGATGAAAATTATTTTAGAACTCCAATGCCCAAAAAACAAACCCTTATGAAAGCTACCTAAAAGCAAAAAGGAAAGCTAATAAATCATATTTGTAAATTACGGAATCATCCATATATCTATTTTAATAACTTAAGAAAAGGAGTTCCCACATGATATTTAAATTATAAAACTTATAATATGAAATCAAGAAAATGAAAACACTATTTTATGAGATAGAGATGCTACAAGTATGATATTTAAATTATAAAACTCATCCAATGCCTGCGACATAGCAACACCACCATGTCCACCACGTATGATGAGCTCCCGCTTTACACTCACCAACCCTCTCCTAGAACCACCTCGAACAGCCTGTTCGCGGTGGTTCATTTGTGTGCCATCTTAGCCCTACTCTATCACCATGCACTCACTGCTCCACTCAAAAACCCTCCCTTCTTTCTTCATCACCCTCATCCTCCTCATCTCCAACTCTGTCCTCGCTTTCATGTTCACCACCACACAATCTTTTCGGATGAATCCAATACATCCAATCGAATTCCTAGAAAACCTCAAAAAGGTAGTGGAAGAATCAGACTTTCCAGCACTGGACGTGTTCATATGCACTGCTGATCCAGACAAGGAGCCGCCAATGAACGTGGTGAACATGGCCTTATCGGTCATGGCTTATGATTACCTGACCGACAAGGTATCGGTGTATGTTTAGGACGATGGCGGCTCAGCTCTGACTCTCTTTGCTTTCGTGGAGGCTTCCAAGTTTGCAAGGCGCTGGTTGACTTTTTGTTGAAAGAACAAGATAGTGGAGTGCAACCCAGAAGCTTATTTTGCAATGGATCATTCTCGGTTTGCTGAGGCTGAGAAGATCAAGGTAATAGCTACAAATAGTATAGTACCATATATCAATTTCCTTAATTATTATATATATATATATATATATGGTTATGTTGTTAAACTGTAAATGTGAAATACGGCACGAGAACATTTGTGTAAAGATTCGAAAACCCCAGACATTCAATGAATATTTGTGTAAACCACCTCCCTCTTGTACCAAAAAAAAACCTTTAGAGAGTATACAATGAGAGGGGAGAGAAGGCAAGTAGATAGGCCAAATGGGACTCCTAAGATGGGAAACTTCCTTGTTTCATAGAATGATTAGATTTATGGAGCAAACCATTAGATTAATTAACTACATTTTTTTCTGAATCATGCATGGCATAGGTTATATACCAAGGCCTGAAAGTAAGGGTATAGAATGTAATTGAGAGAGGCAAAGTTGGGCATGAACGTATAACTGGAGAAGGGGAAAGTCAAGCTTTTAGGAAATGGACGGATGAGTTTACCCGACAAGATCATCCCACTGTCATACAGGTATTTTTCTATCTCCCCTTTCCGTAATCATTAAAAATAAACAAAGGTTACCTCAAAGCAACAGTAATAATTTCTAATGAGGAATTAATCACGCAATAATCTTACTAGACAATTTGTCATGGTTATACGCCCAGGATTCAAAAATAAGATAGACATTTCCCAAATTTCAGTTCGGCTATAACCCTATCCAAACATGGCTGGATCTGTGCCCCTGTTAAAGATGATCCGAGTTCAAATCTAATGTATATGCGTATCTGTGTGTAATATGATTGAGCAGATTCTTTTGGACAATAGCAAGGACAAGGACATCACAGAACATTCGATGCCAAACCTAATATACGTGTCGGGAGAAAAACGCGGGACATCACCCCACCATTTTAAAACTGGTGCCCTTAATGCCCTTGTAAGCTTTTCCTATGTACTTATTTTTCTCATTCAAACATCTCTTTATTAATTAATTTCATTCATTTATGCATTGGCGTGGTGTAACAAAAAGCTTCGAGTTTCAGCCACCATGACCAATGCTCCAACAATCTTGACTCTGGACTGTGACACCTACTCTAATGACCCTCAAACACCCCATCGTGCCCTACAGGGGCGGAGTTAGAATTGTAAAGTTGAGGGGGCCGAAATAGAAAATATAAGTATATAAAACACCTAAATATTCAATACTTACATGTTTAGAGATAAATATTTCTAATTAAGTCATATCTAATTTGTTTTAGAGGACATTTTAACTTAAATTCTAAGTTGTTTATTACAAATTCGATATATTATATATAATATAATAGAGGAGTGATAAAAATTGGATTGGGGGGTGGCCAGGGCCACTCCAGGTCTAGGAGTGGCTCCGCCACTGGTGCCCTATATGTTACTTATTGGACCCCAAATTTCGATCCAAATTAGGGTTTCTGCAATTTTCTCAACGTTTTCATGTCATCAACAAGAAGGGCGTATATGCTTGTGAGCACAAACGTTTGTACAAAATTAACCCTTTCAGAATAGACGGGCTATTGGGACCAAATTATTTAGGAACAAGGTGCTTTTTCTCTAGAAGGGTTTTCTTCGGCGGCCCCTCACATCTTTTACTTCTGGAAATGCCCTAACTTGGTCAAAATGTTGTGGACAAACCCATTCAGTCTCAAAGGTTTTGGAATTGGCTCACCATGTTGCCGATTGCAACTATGAGAAGAATACCACTTGGGGCTTAAAGGTAATTCAGCCAAATATGTAATTACTCTTTTAAACTTCTCATTTATTTATTTATTTTAAATTTGAAAATTGATGCAATTGTGAGTTAGGCCAATTGGTCGGGTAATGTGTCGGTCTCCTTGCACCTGACTTTGATCCTTTTCTCCGTACATTACAGTTGTTAAAATATCGCTTTGTAAAAAAAAATTGTGTAAATTGTGTAGATTTGTGTAAGATATGGCTCACTTGTGGAGGATTTCTTCATTGGTTATCAAATGCATTGTGAGGGATGAAAGCCTATATTCTGCCATCCAGATAGGGCAGCATTTTATGGGAATGCTCCAATGAACCTTGTTGATGTGTTGAATCAAAACAAAAGGTGGTCCATAGGGGACCTTGAGGTGGCTTTCTCCAAGCATAGTACAATTACACATGGCACTAGGGCCATGGGCCCTTTCATGGGCCTTGCTTATGCTCACTATGCATTTTGGCCCATTTGGTCCATTCCAATCACCACATACGCCTTCCTCCCCCAACTAGCTCTGCTAAATGAATTCACTATATTTCCAATGGTAATGTACATTTACCCTTCTCAATTTCTTCTTCTAGATAAATGTGAAATATTCTATTGTCAGACAGTCGATACGTAATATTTATTCGGGCAGGTTTCAAATCCATGGTTTCTCTTGTATGTGTATCTTTGTATTGGAACCTACGGTCAAGATCTCCTAGATTTTGT